CCTCCCATTATCTCATCTTGATATTTTCCACTACTACATTTTGTATTTCAACGCCACCATTTTTCCTCTCATTCTCTCTCGCATATCTTTGTTTGCAAAATATCATTTTCACATTGTCTTTCACTACTATGTTTGCTTTCAAAACACTATATTATAAACATTTAATCAATAATAATAAAAAAATATAGAAAAAAAATGAAAGCAAATTAAAGAAGAAAAAAAGTAATTTACCTAGATATGTGAGGAGGAAGAGGATGAAGAAAAGGGAAAGAAGATGAAACTGTTCAAAGTTGAAAAAAAAAAAAATTGTGTTTTATGAAATTTTAGAACACTTTATCTCCAACAAATACAAGAAATTTGATTCATTCATTTTTTGTGATGGTCGAGAGGAAATGGAGAGAAATTATTCATATTCCTTTGTGTTTTTTTTACTTTGTAAAGTCTTAATAGAGCAATTACATTGTAGAGTGGTTAAAAATAGAAACATCTTAATTTACTAAATTATAAGGGCTTACTTACCCATTATATAGGGCCAACACAAAGTCCTACCACATTAACATATATATATTATTAACAATGCTCAACAACAACAATAACAATAACAATAAAAAATAATAATAATAATAATAATAATAATAATCCCAATAAATATAATAATCACAAAATTGGAATTAATAAAATAACATAATTTTATATTTATGATATTTAATTAATTTGAATTTTAAAAGAAAATAATAACACTGAATATGATGTCCACTATAAAACGTTCTAATAATCTCTCACTTAGAGAACATAGCTCAAGTTATTAGATTTATGATAAAATTAATACTTTATATTAACTTTACAATAATAAACTTCAATCATAGGTTCAAAATAAGATCATGAGTGTCTTAGTACTATAGAAAACCATATCCGATAAGAGTATGACATCATATATAAACCAAACACTCATATCTTAGTAATCCAACTATATTAGAAGTAGACTATGGAAAACAAACAGAATTGTGATCAATTATGCAATTTTAAAACTAAATAGTTTTGGCACATTCACCCAAGATGTCTAATAATTAAGATAAAATATCTTAATATACCAGTTCAGCATCTTCATAGCATGCTCACTAACACCTCCTTCTACTCCATTATAAGTGGTCTTCCACTTTGCGTTTTCTATATTCCTACATCTACATTCTCTCAATGCGAGTCTCACCACTATTACTAGTCTATATCTATATCATAATGTGGTATATAAATTACTCTCTAAAATACTTACATCCTATATATGGTTCTCTTATCTTTACATCTAGACCATCTCTCAAGTGGAAGTCTCTAATTTGGAGAGTCTTGATCGTTTTGTCTACATTGCGATTCTTACTTGGAATTGGAATACTTAAAAGAATCCTCTAAATTACTAGGAATAGACACAAATGATAACCAAAGGGCAAAGCAAGACGAGTCTTTGATAGACGTACTATCCCTCCAAGACAAATAAAAGATGGGATAGAGTTTTTTATTATGATTTTGAAAAGACAAACTATTAAGTGCTCATGGTCATGGAGAGGATATTTCCTGCATACTGTATCTTGTTATGAATATATACCCAAAAAAAAAAACTAATACTTCATGCATAACAAAAAATTATACATCTAATATTATTATTTTTATCCATTTCTCTCTATCACTTTATTTATTATGAGTGTTTTGATAAAAAAATATATTTTAAACAAATTAAAAAAGATAACACTATATTTCTTTTACGATATAAACGTGTTTTCACCCTAGTATGAATCTTACATGCATCATCATCTTTTCTCTTTCTTTTCTTCTAATATATATATTTACCTCTTTTTACTTAGAAAATGTATATATATAGCCGAAGGATCGGAGTGTCAAATGATCTTTTTTGTTAGAATAATATAAATCCACTAGAAAAGGCCCTGTTAATAGGATTTTTTCTTCTTTTAACCGAGTCAATATGTTACGAGGTCAACTATTTAAATAGATAATCTGCAACCAATCAAGAATTATTTGACACTAGTTAGAAACTTTGAAGGAATCCAACTTAATTCAAAGGAAAGAAGCACAAAATTTTTTAGCTATAAAATGAACAATAAGTAAAAAAGGATCGGGTACGGACCGAAAATTACATATGAATGAAGGAATACAACAGAATTGGTTGGCTCAGAATAGAACAACTTATATAAAATTCAAAGAACGAAAAAGAATCAACAAATCACCAGATTTTTTGTCCAAAAATAATCCAATTAAAACGAGTTAATAATTAATTAATTAATTAATTAACAAAGCTGCAATGCTTCCTGATCTCACCATCTGAGCCAGTAAGCACTTCAATGGAACCCATGCGCACCATCGCTTGAGCAAACTTCTGAGCCCAAGTTGCACCATTGTAAGCATTGGTTTGAACCATTTCCTTGGTGGAGTGGCTGGTGTACAACGTTTGATCCGACGTCAACAAGCCACGGTGGTTCATCAACCCCTCATAGTATTTGTTGTCCAACCGAATCGGCGTGGAAGGGTCAAGAGCCACCGTCGGGTCCGTTGCGGAGGGTGGAGCAGGACACGTGGCTTTCAACGTCGCAGCATAAGAAGCATCCATGGAAGGGTCTTGCTGGAACGTGTCGTTGAAAGAGTACAAGCGGTTTGAGAAGGAAGAGCAGTGCGACACGCCAATTGAATGCGCTCCTGAAAGTGTCACCATTTCATCTGCCGACAAACCCTTTCGTGCGAAATTCGTGACGAGTTCGTCGGCGCTCAAGGTTGGTCTCGGCACATTTTGTGGCACTTCGTCGCCGATTGAGACACGACCGTCTCTGCGTCCCGATGGGACCTCGTAGTTTGTGCCACCAACTTTCACAACACTGTCTCGTGCCGCGAAGGCCAGTATGTCTGCACACGACACCGTTTGAGGACATGCAGCCTCTACTTCGGTCTTCGCTTCCTCAATCACCTCGAAGCCACGTAGGCTTGGGTTGTTAACGAAGTTGTCTCTCTCAGCTGTTGGGTTACCCGATGTAGATGCTAGCAACACTGAACCATCACAACCCTATACATATATACGAAATTATATAAAAATTAATGTAATGTACATGGTTTATGTTGTTGTAACTTATATTGATAAAAAAAATATTATGGGAATGTGAACTTAATTACCCTGACAAAGCAATCATGGAAATGCATTCTAATGAGACCAGCAGCTACGCCTGGGTTGTCAGAAATGGCTTTGTTGACTGTGTTTCTCACTATTGTCTCAGCAGATGGACATGTGGAGCTGTAGAAACCCACTTCTAGAGATGCTGAGGCCAATGATGAAACACTTAGAATGAGGACCAAGGTGGAAACCATTTGAAGCATGCGTGGAGTTTTATCCATTGTTGTTATAATTGCTAAACCTTAATTACTAGCTAGCACAGTACGTGTATGGTTGAAAGTGGAAAGTTAAGGACAAGACAAGGAAGAGAGTTGAGTTGAACTTGTTTTTACGTTGGGTTGATGAATATTAAGGAAGAGGTGAGGGTGGAGAGAGCTTGAGGTGAAGGGAATGTATTTATAGGTTAATTTTGAAAGAGATGAATAGTGAGGTTTTGATTTGGCAAACAATTAATTAACTAAAACGCGTTTTAAATTAATTAAAATAGGTATTACTGTATTAGGTAGTAGTTGAAGTTGTCTTGCCTGCTGTTGAACACTTCTCTCTTGAATATCAGCTTGAGAATTTTCCTTCCTTTTGGTGGCTGCATGTGGCATTTAACTAGCACAATTTGACCAAGTGTTCACATTAATTAATTTGTGTAAAATTAAGTGGGACTTGGTATCAGGTAGCCACTATATGTAGTTTTTGCTTATTATGAAAGTATACAACATATATATAATTGATCTTGTTTTTTCCTGTCTCAAATCTTTGGCATCTAGAAGTTGTGTTGGGCTTCAACTAATATGAGTTGAGTCTAATGGATCTATTTAAGGCCCAACGGGTTAAAACTCTCTTAAGAGGAAACAAGCTCCTTACTACTTGCCACACCAAAAAATAAAATAAAATAAAATCCTTGCTACTTAAACTAATCAATATAAAAAACATGAAAAATCTTTTATTACAGCTGTCACATGATATTTTATTGTTTTTAATTAATTACTTTATATATATTTTTATTAATTATTTTTCGTTTTATATGTTTCTTTATTTTTATATTTCTAATCTTTAGATTTTTTATGTATATATTTTTTTTCAAGTTTTTTTTAGACAAATTATATTAGCCTTTAATAAATTATGAAAGTTCTTATTTATTTATATTTATAAATCTTAAATATATAAATATATAGTACACAAAAGTGTTATTTTTTAAGGCTAAATTGTATTTTTTAAACTTTCTATAATATTCAATTCATGATTTTGGTATTCCAATCTTTAAATTTATAATTTTAGTCCTCCAATTCTATAAAATCTACAATTTTAGATCTACCATTAAATATTCACCTATTACTAATCGCTAAAATTGTAATATTGATCATAATATAATATTACAAGTAAATAATGTTACTATGAGAAATGAAATAAATTAGTTTCTATCAACCGAAAAAACACACTTGTAGCTATTAGAACTAGGTTGTGTTTAGTAAAATTAACTCATGCTAGTTGGGAGTTTATAAGCTTACTAAAAGGTTATAAGCTATAAGTTGAGAGCTAAAATGTTAAAAACTTAATTATAAACTAGGATATTGAATTGAAAGTATTTTATAAGATTAGTTAATAAATGTAAAATGTCATTAAATAATCTTTATAAATAAGAGTGTGCTAATGATAGAAATAAAAAAAATAAGAGTTTATATATATAAGTTATAAGTTACTTTAAGCACCTTATAAGAATAAGTACAAACTCTTAAAATAAATTTGTATAATTTTACGTATTAAACAAGTTTATTTTAATCGAATTAACTTATAAGATCATTAAAAGAGTTTATAATTTCCAAAAATGAGTTGTAAAATACACCTCAGTCTAGTAATAAGAGATTAGGTAGATATAGAAAAATTGAATTTGATTTTCATATTATAATTTATTATTAAAAAAATGAATAACTCTAAATTTTTTTCCTAAAACCTTCAGAATCAATTCCTCTAACCGTGTATTTTTTTTATTCATTCGATTTATTTGGTTAAAGTTGTAGTGGTTTACTCCGCTCAATAACTCATGATATAAGTTAAATTTTATCGATCCAATTATTAAATTAAAAGTTATTAAATTTTACAAATAATTAATATAGAAAAATTGATTAGAAATTAAAACAAGGATAAATACATTTTTTGAATTTTATATCTTAGATTTAAGATGAATAAATAAATTAAGTTAATTAATAATTTATTTAAAATGTTAAAATTTAATTTATAAAAATAATATTTTAAAAGAGAAAGGTTATAATAACACCAGTGTAACTTTTACTAAGTATTACACCGCTCAATAACTTTATATTAAATGTGAATTTTATAAATTCAACCGTTAGATTGAAAGTTTTTTACTCTTAG